TCAAGTTAGTTGGATTGTTAATTATTGTTTATAGTTTTGGCTGAGATTTTAGGGTTTTCTTGTTGAAATGTATGCAGGCTGTTATTAATATTGGTACACATGCATTGTTAAACTCCGAAAGCCTTTTAGATTTCAGTATTAATAGGGTTAAAAATTAATAAACTGGTGCATTTGATTTTGGGTTGCACAATATTGAAAAATCTGATATTGTGATTTATTGGATTTTTCCTGCAATTAAAAATTGCGCTATGAGCACAGTTTTACAAGATGGTTTAAATAGCTGTATTTAACAATTTTCTAAGTCTAAAGCAGGTCGCACACCAGAAGCGGCGCTCGGCGGCGCGCCGCGCAGCGCCACGCAGCGACACGTATTTTAGAATTCTAAACATAGGTTTCTATCAGGATACACACACCGGCGCCGCAAGTCGGCGGCTGTCGGCGGCGCCCGGCGACGGCTCAGGACGCAGTTCATTTTTCAGCCGCGCCACAGAGCGCCATCTGATTAGTTTCATGTTAAATATCATTCGAATGTGCGCGTCTGGTGTGCGATACTTTAATCTGTCATGTACGCGCCGTGTCGCGGCGCCGAGCGGCGCTTCTGGTGTGCGACCTGCTTAACAGTATTCAGGTGCAGAAACTGAATAATCACAATGCTGAAAAATGTTGTTGTAACGTTGTTACCTGTCTAAATATCTAAAAAAAAACTTCTCTGAATAAAGATCAAGTAAAAACATTTTGTTTTTACCTTTTAAAAGAAATAAGTCAAACTTAAGAGTTGAAACAATCACAACTATCCGCAAATGGAGTGAGTAAAATAATCTTGTTTTTGCTTTGAGCAAGACAAAAATTTTAAGTATGTTTTTTTTTTGTTGTTGTTGTTGTTGTTGTTGTTTTGGTCCCACTTTATATTAAGTGTCCTTAACTACTATGTACTTACATCAAAAAAATAATTACAATGTACTTACTGTGTTTATAATGTATTTGAGAACACTTGTGGTGCTTTTAAGTTGGGATAGAGGTTGGGTTATGAACAGGTTTGGTGGCATGGGTAGGTTTAAGGGTGGGTTAAGGTGTAAGGGAGGGTCAACAGTGTAATAATAAATGTAATTACAAAAGTTAATTACAGATGTAATTACATAAATTTATTTAATCAAGCATAAGTACACAGTAAATACATGTATTTACACAATAAGTACATTTTAACAAACTATTAAATCCTATGTAAGTAGACATTAGTTAAGGCCACTTATTATAAAGTGGGACCTTTTTTTTCTTCTTTTTTTACATGTATCAAAAAATACAATTATTGTTTGCTAGACCTCCAAACATAATAATATGATCGTAATTTATATAAACTTATATATATATATATATATATATATATATATATATATATATATATATATATATATATATATATATATATATATATATATATATATTTCTGTCCAAATGTTTTAAACTCTTAAAATGGTCAGTCACCGGCTTTAAAACACATGCAAATGAAAGCATTCACACTATTATGGTTAAACTTTAAATCATATGTGCTCTGTAGCTCCTGGTCAGCTATAATTCAGACTCAACATTGCATATCTTGCAGTGTGACTTGCGGATGCACACAGCGATATCGATTATGAAACGATATATTGTGCAGCCCTAGTTTGATTGGCTAAAGATACAGTATGACAAATCTCTAGTTTATGGCCACAGCTCCTCCTCTGCACTAATTTGATCAGTCTAGTAATTATTGCGAGCAGCTGCTGATCTGGAGGTCGAATTTAATATTCTGTAATGAAGAAAGAGAGAAGCAGCTGGCATTTATACAACACTGGTTAAATGAAAACATTTTAGGGGCCTTCGGTTTTGAAAAGGGTTTCAATGTGCAGCTATTGAAATCAGTACTGTTATCGTTCCTGTGCAAACTACAAAAATGGGATTTTGTGAAAACTGTAATGATGCATATATGGATTTTGTATTCAGTCAATGAGCATGAGCGAGTACTTGACAACCTAAACAACAATACACTGCAACAAATGCTTTTCTTACTTAGATTGTTAGTCTTGTTTTTAGTCCAAATATCTCAAAATATTTACATAAAGAAGCATTTTCTAGACTAGCAAAAGGAATTTTCTTCAAAAATAATATGCTAAAAACAAGTGAGGTTTTCCATAAAACAAGCAAAATAATCTGCCTATGGGGTCAGCAAAATAATTTTGTTTTTACTTTTGACATAAGATTATTTTGTTCACCCCAATTTGCAGATTATTTTACTTGTTTTAAGGAAAAACTCACTTAATTTTGACTTCTTATTCCTAAAAAAAAGACAATGTTTTACTTGTCTAGAAAATGCTTCTTGTTTTATTAATTTTTAGATAATTAAACAAAAACTCTACTTAAAAAGAGTATTTTTGCAGTCTAGGACACTGCATAGGCATGTTGTGTTTCTTTACCAGGTGGCATTGACAAATACTAGGCTGAAATGCACAACACACGCACGTATATGCATGCAACATGTGATATACATGCAGTTTGTATTTATAGAAGTGCGTGAGTGTTGAGTTAAGTCACATTTGTTCTCACCTACTTCTTCCAAAACACCCCTGACTCCATATAAGAGAGTCTGACACAATCACATGGCACACAAAGGATGCACGCCATGTACACAGGAATCCAGACTGTGGCTATATTAGGAACAAAATTCCACCCTTGAGAACAGGCTGTGAACTTTGAAGTATTGTATGATTACACACTCCAGCACAAACACGCTGACCGATGCCCTTTAGTAACACAGACTGCTTTAAAATGGATATGTAGAAAAACTTTTTACAGACAAAACCACACAGGAAAACTTCTCAACGTTGGTTTGCGTTGAAGTTTACTAGCGATTTCAACGTGTCTGCTTTCCATGTGCATCGAGTGATGCAGGAAGGAATGAGACATTCTGATCAAATGAATCACCATTCTAAAACCACAATCCCGCCCTTTCCAGTTGTTAAAGGCATAGTTCACCCAAAAAATTGATGTTTACTCACTCCCAATTAGTTCCAAACGTTTGTGTTTCTTTTTTCTGTTAAACACAAAATAAGATATTTAGATTATTTAAAATGTAGCCAGTGACTTCCAAAATATCCAAACTCAATGGCTACACGTTTTCAACATTGTTCAAAATATCTCTTTTTGTGTGTGTGTGTTCAATAGTAGAAAGAAACTCAAGCTGGTTAGAAACAAGTTGAGTGAGTAAATGAGGGGAGAATATTCACTTTCTGTGAACTATTCCTTTACAGTAGTGTTGTCTCTTTGTTCCATTGAGCAAACACATGTCTGTTTCCATTTAACACTTGCATCTTAGTCTGTTGCAAACACTATTTTCAGTCTAAAATATGTCCAGGAGTGTCAGCTTTTCCATATTTTGTCATGGAAAGCTGGATCACTGGTTGTAAAAGCTGAAGATTAACCAAACAAAACTCGGTTTGAGACTCTTGGGTTGTCATGGTGCATCTCTAACTTTAAACACAACGTTAGATGTGTTTACTTCATGAATGACTGGATTTCATCCACTCATACACTCCAACTCATGATTTAACCTCCATGTTCTGTATTCAAATGTTCACAAATGTATGTTTGCAAAGGACTGAATTAGTAAAATGAGTTAGTAGCTGTTGAAATGCGAATATAACTAAAATAATATTTGATTATTAGCTCTAGTAGGGTTTATTTTATTAAAGTGTAACTGGATTTTGTTCAGATTCAGTGATGAAGGTATGAAATTCAGATGATCTTTGAAAAGCTGCAGTAATTCAAAGTGAAAGCCAACTTGTACAGTGAACTCCAAAAGTCTGAGACCCTATTATAAATCTAAATAAAAAAAATATATATATATATATTTAAACTCACAAATAAATGTAAAAACTATTTTAACATGATTTTGTTTTTTGCAACCCTGGCCAATAGTCAATTCTTGTGGACAGAAAGGTTTTTTTTTTTTTAAATCATGCTCCTCAAATCTCAAAAATCGACTGAAAGAGGCTGAAAAATCAAATCACTTCGCAGATCATCATATCTTAAACAATGTACAGATTACACATCATATTTTACACATTATTATAATTATAGAATAACTTAAGAAAACAATTGGTAGTAAATCAGAAACTTGTACTTTAAAGCTCAGGGTCAGAAATTAACTGTTCGGGGCGAGAATTGTATCTGGAAATAGATTTCGATATAGATTGGAAATAGATTGGCTTTTTTTTTACATTTTTTTTTAACCCAGCAGGCACCTTAGTGTCAAAATGACATCAAATTTATAAAAAAATAAAATGCCAAAAATTCAAATGCAAATAATCTATCATTGGCGTCAAAGTTCAATTACAGGACAGTCTTAAATTCATTTTTTTAATGCCAATGTTAAATGTCATTTTGATATTAATTCGAGGTCAAGGTTTTCACATAGGTGTGAAAATTTGCATTTTCACACCTATGTGCCCACTGGAAACCTTTATGAGGGGAAAAAAGGCTGAGAAATCGAATCACTTTGCAGATCATCATATGTTACACATTGTACAGATTACACATCATATTTTACACTCATAATATTATACTTATAAAACTACTTAAGGAGAAAGTTGGTAATAAATCAGAAAAAACCCATGAAGGAACATTTTTGGTAGTTTTCTAAGATTACAATGTCACAAATTTGTATTATTTTAAGTCAGTACAGTATGTATTTGTGTTTCTTTTTTTTAGTAAAACAGTAAACAGTATTAGAATAACCTTTCAAGTACAGTAAATGAATGCCCTACAGACTAACAGCTGGAAATGATCTCAAATAACTCAAAGATTCTACCTTGAACGCCAAGTGAAGTATGTTCACACAACCCTTTAAAGTCTTTGAATGCTTAAATATATCATATATGACTTCAAAAAACTTGAATAAATTCATCAGCCATAACATATGTTTCAGGATAGAGGCATTAAAAAGGCATTCATAGTTCATTACTCACCTTTATCAAGCGGAAAGACACTGAAAGGTTGAAGTTTGATGCGTGGTTGTGGAGGATCCACCCGTAACGCGGTTAAAGATCGGATGTAGACTTAAACCAACACCCTAAACCATACGCTCAACAGGTTGGCTCAGTCCTGAGTGGGTTGAGTTTTGAATGAAGGATCTTTTCTCTGGAGGAGCAGCTCTGATCATTTTTTTGTTTGTCATGCACGCTTGCTCTGAATTTTTTATGCTAGTGGGTGGACACATTGATTTGACCCGAGTTTGTAAAAGTACAGCCCAGGGTCAGAAATGAACAGTTCTGTTGAGGGGTGATAGTTGCATCTGGAAATAGATTTCGAAGGGGCATTTTTTTTACTTAACATGCACCTTAACCTTTTGACTGCCCCTTTACCAAAAGGTTGATCATGTTTTACTGTTTTAACTAATGACTGTTAAAGTAATTTAAAGATTGACTGTTTTAACTGCATTGATGGTTTACAAAAACACAATCAATCATAATCCTGCTGCACTGCAACACTTGATTTTGGTTTTATTGTGTAAAACAAACAAGAAAGCATGTTAAATGAGAATCTGAAATAGTTTATGGCATACTTGGAAAAAAATAAAGGTGATTTAATATTATTTTTTTTATTTTGAATATTGTTTTTAAAATAAATTGGTCTAACACTTCATATTTTCAGATTTTTCATAGTATATGTATTAAGTCCAGGACTTTTACCAGAAACTGACATATCTACCATTTGGTTGTGGCTGATATTTTAGAAATTATGGGATGTGTTGGGGAAAAAAAATGCATTGAGTGTGGTAACTAGTGACGTTAGGTGTTAAGAAATGCAATTCAAACATTTTTTTTCTTGGTGGGGTAGTTAGGGGTTAATATATAAACAACATCTAAAAACATCTACTAAAAAAAAAAAAAAATGCAAATCGGTTTTATGCTAAAGCCTTGGTGTATCCATTTGACTTCCACACATTGATACCTTTTTGGCCACAAAATAACAACACAGTAAAGTTTTATTCATCTGAATGCTTCAATTCCAAATTTACACTGGATTTTGTATCTTTACAATGCATGTAAAGTACCTAAATGTGAAAACAGCATTGTTATCCAGCATTGGCATCAAAATTCAATTACAGGACATGTTTTCTGACGCCAGTGTCAGCTTTCATTTTAATGTCATTTTGACATCAAATCTACTCCCATTTTTGACATGTTTTGAGTGAGGTGTTGCTTTTCTTTTCTAATTATTATTTGTTGTAAAAATTGTCTTGATACAAAATGCTTAAATTTAACTGATTATTTCAATAATGTTATTTTATATCATATTTTAACAATTGCTGTATAGCCGACTACTTCTAAATATTTTAAAATGTTTTGTGTCTGTTTTGTGTGAGAAACAACATTATAATTTGCCTCCATAGACAAAACATGCCAGTCCATGAATTGTGTTGAAAGTTATCTGAAAAATAAAATATATTTTAAAATATTATAAATATAATATTAAAATCTTATTATAATCACTAATATTAATATTAAAAATAAATAAAATAATATTATGACTCAAGCTGCAAAAACAATCTGTGTTTTTTGACTTGAAGTACGGTATCTAATAGGGATGTAACAATATTGTAAATACCATCATAGTGCAATAGTAATTTTTTTCAATATTACCGTAGGCGCATGACTCAATAAAACTATATTTCTGAGAAAAATTTGCTTAGGCGAATGAAGTGAACGGGAGGTAGCGGGAACTACAATTCCCATCAGCCTAGGCGTGGCCATCATCCTTTGCGGTCTGTTGTTACTATCCAGTAATGCGGAAATGGAGTGTGCTGCTAGTAGCGGGGAAGAAAAAGAGCTGGAAATGATCCAATTTAAAGTTTTAATTTGGATGTGTGGAAGTGTTTCGGTTTCTTTCTAAAAAGATACAAAAAAGGAGAAAAGGTGACAGACAAAGAAGAAAACAATATGCAGGCACTGCCAGACTGTGGTGAAATATAAGTCGGGGAATACGACTAAAAACAGTCATGGGGACTGCAGAACACAGCGCACTTGTTAGATTGATGAAGACATTGAATTGTACCGCAAAGAGACCTCTATCTCACTCATGGCTTGTCCTCTCAAATGGTAGAAAGACAATGCACAATGTTACCCACTGCTGTCAACCTTGGCTAAATCATATCTCTCTGTCCCAGAAACCTCAGTCCCAAATGAGAGGGTTTTTTTTCTGTTGCAGGGGACATGCCCAGAGATCCCAGCTTTTACCAGATTATAGTTGTATGATAATTTTCCTTTAAAAACACATCTCTATCTAAGTGAGTGCGTGATTAAATGTTGAATGTGATGAGTTTTCAACAATACTTAATTGAAACTTTATTTTTTTTTATATGGTTTAATAGTTTTTTGTTATTAAAATTGAAAAATTGAAGTTCCTGTTTCGAAACTTACAGATAGATGGCTAATTTGTATGTCATTGATATGTTCAGTGCTAAGGTAAATAAACACTTTTGGCACCTTTTTCGAGTCTTTTCATTAGATTTGTTTGTCCTGTAAATTATTCAATAAATACCGTACCGTGCCATTCATATCGAGGTATTATCGTACGGTGAAATTCTGATACCGTTACATCCCTAGTATATAATCCAACCAATAAAACTTGATCTAAGTTGATGAATGTTTTAGTGATATTAAATAGAAGTTTTGACCTAAATAAACAAGATAACTACCACTTTTAGGTTGCCATTTTTATTTTTTTTTCATGTTGTACAGCGTTTAAACCCCAAGGTAACAATATCTTACAAATGAAATGTAGCTTTGCATCCCCATCACTGAGAATATTTATTAAAGTGTCACTTGAAGAGATTTGCTTAACTTATTTATAGAATGAATCTACAAATTCAAAATAAGAGAGCTCAGCATTTATGGGCAGGATCTGTGATTAATGTAAAAATTACTTGGTTAAAACAATGGAAATTCTACATAACAAATTACAAGGGGGAAAAGTGGAGCTAGAAAGCCACCTGTAGATTATAGACCAGAAAAAAAAGTGTCTTATACTCGATCACAACTCCAGCGGAAAGTTTTCAGCTGATGAAGTTCCAGATCATAATCATTAGATTTTGCTTGCGTCATCATCATGCCTGTCAAATAAGATGCATATTTTCAAAAACACCACCAAAAATTCCCCAAAAATGTTGTGATCTTGAAATGTACATCATTTTACTGCGATTTAAAAGCACGAGTGTGACCGACAGCTCAGGTGACCTACTTTCTTTTTGGTTTGCACTGCCCCCCTGTGAAGAGAGCAATCTGTTACTCTTTCTGTGAGCATATGATGTAAAAACAGGTGGTTTTTGATAAATGGAAAATACATGTGCACAATTTGAGATCTACTTACAACACAGAGCTGTAACAGCTCCTGCTACAAGCACACATGTGAAGACCAAACCCCCGATCCTCAGCGCCTCATAGTCTAAAAAATACAAAAAAAAAAAAAAAAAACAGCAGATATGCAACGTCAAGACAGGTGTACCTCAGGGATCGATCTTAAGTCCATTACTTTTATCAACATACAATTCAGCTACTATTAATCTAAAAAGCTACATTTTCTTATTATTTACATACTTATTTCTCCATGTATTAGTTCTTATACATTATATTATTTTAAAATACTAAAAAGTCTTAAAAGTCCCATTGTTTAACTGTAGAATTGAATTTTCAACACCAAAAGTTGACAGAGCAGGTTCCATAATAAAATTCACAACCGTAAATAAATGGCAAGCACTTATGAACCTCCAAATACAGAAACTATTCAATTACAGATCATTTTACAGTGTGTTTACAGTGTGTTTAAGTCTTTAAAGTGATCATCTTAATTTTGATTATATTTTAAATTATTAAAATTGTCTTGATGGAAAACATTTATAAACTGCTGTTACATTTAATGACATTTTAGCGAGTTTCTTTCATAAATTATGTATGATAGTCATTATATTTGCTGTGAAGAACAGCACATATTCTAAATTTCAATATTTGTTGTTGTATTATCACACTTTTATTGTTTCCATGCTTCAAAAACACATTTCATCTTTGACCAAATTTATGTTTTGTATTATATTTAGAAGTCATGAGCATCAGGATACTTACTGTAAACAAAAGGATCTGCAAAACCAAAAAAGAGGAGAAAGGTTATTAACAAAATGATGCCAGTTCCCAATGCATACGACTAATAATGCTTAATAATTACATTCAAAATTAAGTTACGATTATGTTGTGAATAAAACGAACATGCTTTGTATGTAGCGTAATAAAATAATCACACAAAAAAACAGTAAATGTTTTACATCAATAGTTTGCACTGATTTCACTATAAATATTAATAAACAAATTGAAAAAAATGTAAAGAGGAAAGAAATATAAATACGCAGGTCAAATTAGGCTGTGAAAATCAAAACTGTAATCAAATTTGATGTATGTTTCACAATCCATTACAGTGCCATAGTATAGAGAGCAATTGTTTTTATGTTTTCTCGTTTTATTGAATACAAAAATAATTACAAAATAGAAAATAATACCAGAGTTAATAGCAATTTATAAAAAAAAAACTACTTCTGACTTACTTGCTTCTGCTCGACTGAACAGTGCCAAGAAGACTGCAGATGACAATAAAGATGTGTTAACACAGAGACAAAATGACACGACAACATGACATACCATATAACAGTACACATAACATAACACATAACATAACATATAACATTTAACATAACATATAAGATTTAACATAACAACATAACATTAACATAACATTAACTTAACATAACATTTAACATAACAACATAACATATAACATTTAACATAACATATAACATAACATTAACATAACGTATAACATGTAAAATTAACATAACATTTTACATAACGTAACATAACATCACAACATTTAACATGACAGTTTATACTCTGAGTAAAATGAAGTCTTGTTTTAAAAACTTTAAACTTTAATTTTCAAACAAGGATGTCATATGTTCTGTATAATAAATAAGTACAATGCAATATTTTACTAATCATATAATTTAAGAATGATTAATTAAAAAATACTATATATATATATATATATATATATATATATATATATATATATATATATATATATATATATATATATATATATATATATACATGTTTATGTATCTTCAAGTCAGAAAGTCCCAATCTACTGTAAAAGTGGCTGAAAAGCCCTAATTGAAAGTTTGACCTTCAGGCTCAAGGTCAGATCTGTCTGTGACCTTTACTGTATACACAAATAATCCTGACTTACCTGTTAGGAGAACTAGTTCTGTGAGCTGGCTCATTTTACCCCTCCTACACAAGGACAAACACAGGAAATGTGTGTCATTTACTCATGCTCTCATTTCAAAGCAATAGGGACTGGATCTTCAAATTGACCAGAAACACCCTACAATAATCTTTTAGAAGTGATTCACAAAAAATTAAAAGTGATTTTTAAAACTTTCTCAATGTTTACTTGTAGTTTAATTCGGTACAATCATGACTGCATTAATATTCAGTGCCAACCATCATTTCTTTTGAACAAAACAGATGATTTACATCAAATGACTCAGATTTAGGATTCAAATGACTCGGAAAACTGATTCAGTTCTTTTAAACTGTGAATATAAATTATTTGGTCTATTTGAAGTGGTAGATTATATGTGAATGAGGATATAAATTACACTGTTATGATTTAAACATAATTTTGGAGATTAGCAGCTCCTGTCGCCACACATTATATGCAAAAGAACTGTCAGCATTTTATTAAGAAAAAATTAATAAATAAATCATTCATTCATTCATTTATTCATTTTCTTGTCGGCTTAGTCCCTTTATTAATCCGGGGTCGCCACAGCGGAATGAACCGCCAACTTATCCAGCAAGTTTTTACGCAGCGGATGCCCTTCCAGCCGCAACCTATCTCTGGGAAACATCCACACACACATTCACACTCATACACTAAGGACAATTTAGCCTACCCAATACACCTGTACCGCATGTCTTTGGACTGTGGGGGGAAACCGGAGCACCCGGAGGAAACCCACGCAAAGGCAGGGAGAACATGCAAACTCCACACAGAAACGCCAGCTGAGCCAAGGTTCGAACCAGCGACTCAGCGACCTTCTTGCTGTGAGGCGACAGCACTACCTACTGCGCCACTGCCTCGCCAAAAAATAAATCAATACATTGTAATCAATAGTAAAAGTAATTCATGTACAGAATGAGTGAGGAAATTTATAAAGAAACAGTTTAGCTCAGAAACGCAAGTAAATTTCTTAATCACAAAGTAATGTCAAGAAAGAATAAAATGTTCTCTTCTTGTAAATGATACCCTTTCACAGCTTAAAATGACACATACACTACTAAAACTTTTAAATGTTAGTAAATATTTTTAACTTCAGATTTGTATTACTTTAAAGTATAATGTGTACATGAAAAGTTTTATTTTTTTTCTTCTAAAATTAGCATTTTCCCCCGACTCATGTAGGCTCAGAAATGTTACTTTTATAGTGACAAATAAGTTATTTTCATTGCCTTTAAAGTGAAATACTTGAAGATAAACACAGGAGGCTGAGAAAAACACTCATTTTAGGAGAATTTCAGATGGAATTTGGAAGTTTTTGCATCTGAACTCTTGACATATGTTTACATATGTTTTTTTTTATTCATTTTAGTTTTATTACTGTTTTTTTATTGCTGTTTTAATACATGTGCTATCAAGAAAATAAATCCTTGGCTACTGGTTAACTTTTTTAAACTCATATGAAAATTATTATTAATATTTTTTATATTTATTGTATTAATAAGAATGGTTTTAGTTTTAATTTTGGGTAATTTTGGTTTAAATAAAGCCTCACGCCCGACGGAAGTGTCCACAAATCAGATCACTGTATGCAAATACACCAGCTAGACAGTGGCCTATTGCTGACTGAATTTCATTAGCTGACGCTGCTATGACGACCGCGTTAGCCCCAACTTCAGACACGCCTTCAGTCAAGCGTATACGCTGAAGCCCCATATGAATGAAGCGTTATAGAAAATATTAGTATCAACAGCAACACTCTCGAACAATACCCAGCTAATCCAGTCATTGCCTAGCGAAATAAAAACGCTCCTTTTTTCTTGTCAACAAAAAGGCAGTGAGGTGTGCCTTGTGTTTTTGGAACGTAAATGTGCGTTCGGTGTGATCGGCCCCTTAATTGGGGCTCGCCACAGCAAAATGAACCACCAACTATTTCAGCATTTGTTTTATGCAAAGGATGCCCTTCCAGTCGCAATCCAGTACTTGGAAATGTCTACATAGTATTCATTTATTTATTTTTCTTCAGCTTAGTCTTTATTTATCACAGGTCACCCCAGCGGAATGAACCGCCAACTATTCCGACATATGTTTTATGCAGTGAATGCCCTTCCAGCCGCAACCCAGGACTGGGAAATGTCCACATAACATTCATTCATTCATTTTCCTTTGGATTAGTCCCTTTATTTATCAGGGGTCGCCACATTGGTATGAACCGCCAACTATTCCAGCATATGTTTTATGCAGCAGATGCACTTTCAGCCACAACCCATTACTGGGAAATATCCTCATAACATTCATTTAATCATTCATTTTCCTTCGGCTTTGTTCCTTTATTCATCAGGGGTCGCCACAGTGGAATGAACTGCCAACTTATCCAGCATATGTTTTACACAGCGGATGCCCTTTCTGATGCAACCCAGTACTGGGAAATGTCCACCATACATTCATTTATTCATTTTCCTTTGGCTTAGTCCCTTATTTATCAGGGGTAGCCACAGCAGAATGAACCGGCAACTATTCCAGCGTATGTTTTATGCAGTGGATGCCCTCCCAGCTGCAACCCAGTACTGGTAAACATCCACATAACATATTTTTATATATTTTTTTAATCAAATAAAGTACAATAAACTGTTTTATCTTCAAATCCTCTATTAGTATAATACAGCATAATGTGAGTGTTGTCTACAGCACATGTAATTAAGATGATTATCCGCCCCGTTCCCATCTTCAGGCCCGCAGTGAAACAAGGAATGTTTGTTAAGAAACTCCAGCTGTAGGTGCCGCTGAGAGAAAACAGTGCTGGTGTTTTGAAAGTAAACACAGAATGACGGGTCGAAGCAGTCGGGACGCAGCACGTCCTAGGACACTGCTGGTGTACCCGTGAATGCCTGGAGGTGTTTTGGAAAGTTTGCTGCCCCACCTCCTCTAGGTCTTGAGTCATCTCTGATCTCTAGCTCAGCACTTTCTTCCTCGCACTGACCACACGTGACCCCAGTGCCGTTTATTGCCTAAATTCATCTTTTGAAATTAAAAAGCCAGACTAAAATGATTAAAATTGTGTGTTAAAGGGACAATCGATAAGAAAAAAGACTCATTGTACATCTCTCCTAGAGTTAAAGAGTTTCATTTTACCATTTTTTAAAATCCGTTTAGCCAGTTTCTGAATGAAAGCACTTTTAGCTTAGCTTCGCAAAGATCATTGAATCTGATTAGACTATTCGAATCTTAATAAAAATGTAAAAAAAGAGAAAGTTTAGATATTTGTTGCTATTTAAAGCTTGTTGCTTTTGTAGTTACAGTGCATTGTGCACTAATACCAGCAATAAATGAAAAGTTGCTATTTTCTAGGCTGAAATGTCTAGGAACTATACCCTTATTCTGGCATAAAATTTAAGGAAAATTGTTGCAGCAGATGCAATAATATTGAAAAATATAGAATTTTTTTAATTTTTAAATGAGATGCTAATGGTCTAATCTGATTCAATTATTTATGCTAAGCTAGGCTAAATGTGCTCCTACAGACCCGAAGATTGGCTGAATGGATTACGTAGTGTAAAATACACTGTTCAACTCTGGGGGAGTTTTAAATGATTGGGTAGCTCTTGTCATTTTAAATCGAGTGTTTTTTCATGTATTAATTATTGTTTTATTATATATATATATTAATATATATATATATATATATATATATATATATATATATATATATATATATATATATATATATATATATATAGTAATTACATTTCTATGTTTTGTCTATATTTGGAGTGTTTGATATTTTTTGTAGTGATTTTAATTTAAAAGGTTTTGTAATTTTTATTTTTTATTTTTTAATATTTAGTTATTAAATGTGTGTGTATATATGCCATCTAGAAATTTTAGTTGTAGTTTTGGTTCTTTTTACTAAATATACCTGCATGATATTTACCTTTTAATTTTAGTTAACTGTAAATTGTCGCTTAAATGAATCCTTCCAGGAAAAATTATAAGTTGTATAATTTATTAGGTCTTTTATGTACTTTTATGTGTATATTTTAATGTATTTATGTATCTTTCTATACAACAATTCTTAAAATTATCCTGTATCAAATGACCTTGACCTTTCATGATTATGTATTTCTTCAACCAATGAATCAAACATTAACTATGATCTTCATGAATAAATGAGAATACAATTGTTTATATTTTGAATGCTTTAGATTATTTTCTGTATTCAATTAGTCAATTCAAATTGACTGTTTTTGTAATTTTGTGTTTTTGGTAAAAAAAAATAAATAAATTAGTTCATGTTAATGTCTATATGGGTTTTACATTTTATTTTCCTTTTAATTTTAACTCATTTTACTGAATTTGAACACTTTTTTTGTGAACTGTAGTTAAGCCTTTCAATAAATATTTTGTTCATGCCCATAATAACCATATCAAATGACCTTGACCTTTTATGATTATGTATTTCATCAACAATGAATCAAACATTATTATAAAATTAATTAATAAATAAGATACAATTTTTTTATTTTCTGTATTCATTTCAATTTGGAAGTCTTTGTAATATGTGTTTTTGGTAAAACAAACATTTTAGTTTATCTAGAGTAAATGTGTATACGGGTTTTATATTTTAATTTTAGTTTTAAGTTTGAGCTCATTTTACTCTTTGTTTTGTTTTTCATTTGAGATTGAAATAAGTTTGTTTAAATAGAAATGTATAGTCTTTTTTAAGTAATATAATTCAACTAAATAAAAAACATTATTTCTTAGCAAATAGCTGACAGTAAAAAGTGTTTTATGTATTCTAGTGTAATTTAGCTAAAGTAAAATGAAACAAAAATGTCAAACATGTGAACTGTAAACCTTACAATAAATAATTTACAGGTCTTTTATTAACCAAAACTCTCAAAATGACCCCACATCAAATGACCTTGATCTTTCAACCTGATTGTTTCTCAAACATGATCATTATCTTATAATTACTAACTTTATTCAAACACCTCAGATCTTGGATTATACATTTGATCAGTGGCAAATCAAACATTAATGAAAATCTTCCTCAAAGTCAAGTTTAATCAATAACACCAAAGGACATTCATTTAATTATTTCCGCATCATGTTCAACCCGATCTAGTAAAATCCTGATCCCGATCTTACCTTTGCAGAGGAACTGATGGCTGTAGATGTTGGATGAGGCTCCTCAGGTGGGCTACTATCAAAAGACCTTTCTGTCTTTCCTATAACCTTAAAAGAAAACTCCTCCTCGTTGTATACACATAAACAAAGAGCAGCATATCAGATGGATGCATATGGGGTGTGTGCATCACGTGTCCACTGTTTAGCCCAAAACATGACCTCTGTGTTGATGAATTACACACAGTTTAAAGATGTAGGCACACCTGCAAATCACTGTCCTTTCAACTTTCACTGCGGATTAAAGCTGATGTCCTTTACTCTGGACGACAGTAATGTGACACTATGGGCCAACATCAAGTACCATTAACTGAGTGCCATTAAGTACCATCAGAGTACCATTAACTTTTGTTAATGGTACTCTGATATTATGCATGCTCTGTCACCCTTTGAAGATGTTTTATTTTAAATTAGAGCATTATCTTTGATAGCAGCAAAATATACATTGCAAAAAATTTGTGATGGGTCCTTCATGAACGATTCGTTCATTTTAAACGAATCTTCAATATGACCCAGAAACTACGAGTCCTCTCAGGGAGTGATTTGTTTATCCGCACGTGCGCACATTTGTGCAGGTGGTATCGCTCCTTTTTAAATCTTTGGAGTCGTTTATCGCGGAAAGGCAGAAGCCAGTCATATGCGTTCAGAGCCGGAAAAAGAATTGATCCGTTCATCTCTCGAGTCCTCTATTGGGTCTGAGTCATTCGTTTATCATGGGCCAATATTATGCGATTAGAGCCGGAAAAAGAATTGAACCATTCATCTCTCGAGTCCACGGGTTTGAGTCATTCTGTCACGTGATGAACGAACGACTCAAGAACCAGCAGACTTGAAAGGTGAACTAATTAGGCTATAAGACTAGACTAAAACTAGACTTCGACTAAAAAGCTCCTATCGGCTCAGACTGTGTACATTGGTTAAGATTATATGTGACTGTCAGTGTAACGTGAACGAATCACTGACATTTGAAGACATGGAGAGGTGAGCTGAGCAAAGAGATAAAAATACCTTCATAGACAAAAGAGCAGGTAAACATTGAATTATTATTTTATCTTTCTTATAGTATTATAATTGTGACTGATTTGTTGTTTGATCAACCTTTTAGGCTAGTTGTAGATGTGTTTGGAAGCAATTCGTAACATTTTAATAATATTTTGGCAAATTGAACCAAATGAACGAAATGACTCAAAAAAAAAAGATTTGTTCATCTCGTTCAGATCCGAGTCAGTAAAATGATCCGAACTTCCCATTACTACAAAAATGTATTTCTTATTTAGTTTTTGTCTTGTTTTTAGTCCAAATATCTACAAATTTCTAAATCAAGAAGAATTTTCTAGACAAGTAAAAAAAGATAGTCTTGTTTTCAGCAATGAGTCAAAATTAAGTGAGTAAGTAAACAAGCCAAGTAATCTGCCAACATAACAAGCAAAATATTCTTATTTTAATATTATTTATTACTTCCTCCATTACTTTATGAAAAAAAAAATTTAATTTTGACTTTTTATTTCTAAAAACAAGACACATTTTTGTCTTGTCTATTAACTGTTTCTTGATTAAGAAGTTTTAGATATTTGGATTAGAAATTAAGACAAAAACTTTAAGTAAGTGATTTTTTTTGCAGAGTATGTTTTGAGAGATTGTTTAAAAGAGATATATATTTAAAAAATGTATATTTTTAATTGTATAACACAATATTTAGTCAATATTATTAGCCCTCCTGTGAAATTTACGTTTTTTTCAATTATTTTCCAAGTTCTGATTCATTCATTCATTCATTTTCATCGCCACAGCGGAATGAACCGACAACTTATCCAGCACGTTTTTATGCAGCGGATGCCCTTCCAGCCGCAACCCATCTCTGGGAAACATCCACACACACACACTTTAGCAATTTAGCCAACCCAATTCACCTGTCCCAAATGTCTTTGGACTGTGGGGGAAAGAGGAGCACCTAGGAGGAAACCCACGCGAACACAGGGAGAACATGCAAACTCCATACAGAAACGCCAACTGAGCCGAGGTTCGATCCAGCGACCTTCTTGCCGTGTCGCCCTCCAAGTTCTGATTAATAAAGATAGTTTCAACACATTTATAAACAATAGTTTTAATAATTATTGGTACAGTTTCTCAGGATTTTTCTTAAGTTTTTCAGGACTAGAACTTATTTAAATTATCCTATTAAAGCCACTTTTATAAAGATGCTGTAAAAAAAAACAGACAAACACATTATTGGTGTGATTTCTAGAGACAGAACAATGCCACTAAGGTATTTTAAGGTATCTAACTGCAAGTTATTTTCAGTTAAAACAGCTCAAACATGCAATTTAATCTAAGACTAGCCTTAAGCATTGTCTGTGCAACCGGAGGAATGTCTAATAACTATCTTTTTTGTCTTTGCTATTATGGCAGTATTATAATATTTTACAAGTAATTTTTTATATTAGTTATTTTGTAATATTTACTAGTTATTTTCCGAGACACTAGTATTCAGCTTAAACTGCAATTTAAACACTTAAAAGTCATTGGACAAGAGTGGTTTGTTCTTTAGAAAAACAAAAACATTATAATTTCTTAAGGTGGCTAAATAATATTGAGCTTAAAATTAGTTGCAGCTTTTTTTACTGCTTTTATTCCAGGCAAATCAAAAGAAGCAAGAAAACAATTAAATTAACATCACGTGGGAAATATTTTTAAAATAATACAAAAAGTCTGATATTTTTACATTTACCTATATAAAAAAAAACATCATTTGAGCAGTGTAAATACATATTGCAATAAGTTCCAATAAAGTTCAGAAAGATGTTTTACAATATTTCCATCACACAAAGAACAAAAATCTGCCCTCCTGCTGGACCATTCAAAAAGAAGTACTATCTGTTAACCGCAGTATTTAAGAGTCAGGGAGGAGCAGCTCTCTGGAGCCCTCAGCAAACACACAGAGCAGGAACAGTCATCTGATATTCCACAGAAACACTCAGAAGCTTATTACATCCTATTCATGATAAAGATAATTATAATTTTAGGAAAATTAAATGGCAAAATGGCAAGGTTTTTTTTCATTATTAAAAAAATCATGTTAAAATTGTTGTTTGGTATTATAAGGTGACATTTCTCAAAATGGATTATTTACTAATTAATTTATTTTGTTGTGTATATTTTGGTATCTTGGAAAAACTTGATCCCCATATTAATCTTGCAATACACAGACACACACACACACACAATATTTTGCAACTTTTTCAAACTATTTAAAATAAGTTGAAACAACACAATTCTTTTGTGTTTTTTTTTTTTGGGACAACTTAATGTTCAGTCTATACTTAAATTTTTAAAAGCGATTAAGTTAACTTAATCAACCTGAAGTGAGACAATATGAAGTAATTGTGTGGAGCCCAGCATTTTTACAGTGTATGAATGCAAAAACTTTAACGCTAATTATCTCAATACTAAAAAGACTTGAAAAAGCACTTTATAATGCAAATATGGTACTTAATACTAAAACTAAGCTAAATTTAAGATGAATATGAGATGTTTTGCCAAACACTTTAAATACCAAATTTAATGTCTAAAAAAAAAACACCAGGACAAATTTCACTCTGTTTTTACACTCTGACTTTTGATGAGTAAAAAAACACTCTTTCGTTTTTCATTTTTTTTTTAATAATCTAAAATGTTCATACTGAAGTCAGACTGACCCCAGAGAAAAATCTCTTTACAAGATAATCACCTTCACGAAAGTACAAGCTGAAAGAACAGAGAGTACCAGCCGATAATATCCATCCACTGATTAAATCAGAGAACTAATATTACAATCATTTTAAAAAGTGAAATTATAAAAGAGAAATCAACAAGTTTACTCAATTGGGCTCTATTAGAAAATAAAGTGAAGTGCAGGACAACAGAACAACAAGGGTCTAAATAAAAATGACAAATATTTTAGATTTGAATACACACTCTAAACATTTTTTGACATTTTTATGATGCTTTAACTTTATTTTAATAAGTTAATCAGGCTTCAGCTACATTATACAAAGTTTAATGTAGCCTAATATTCTAGTCAGTTTAATTGCTATAAGTTTAGATGATTTGAAAAAGTTCATTTGATTCAACTAAACAATATAAGGCTGCAATTTTTTTTTACAGTGTAAGTTTTATTTGTAATGAAGTACTGATCATTTTCCTCCTCTAAATACATTTAATAGTTATAAACACACTGACATTTACTTTCAAAATCCAACCTAAATCTGACCGAATGAGACGTGTTGTAATGTGACCTTTTGTCTGTTTACAACTGCTGGAGCACACATGCAAATAACAAAAGCTGTAAAACATGGCTAAACACAGTTTCCGAAAAAATAGAAGAACATAAATGCTCATGGACTGACTGATATTTACAATGGGAAGCGTACTGTAGGAGAAAGGAAACACTCATTCCAGGGTGCAGAACGCACCTGTGTCAATATTGACCCGTCTACTATTGATCTACTCGCTACAAACCAAAAACGCAGTTTGTGTCCTGCTGATTTTCGCCAGTTAGTAAAAAGCTAGTTTACAGTTCTGTGTTACTTATGTTAAGACATTAATCAAAGGAAGCACCCAATTGTAAACAGTTTGACAATTACAGCTTGACCATTCTTTAATTGGCAGATTAATAATAACCTGAACTTTTTATCTACAGGATAAACATTAGTGGTTTGTTGCATAGAAGTGTATTAGCCAACAACAAAAAAGTCCCTCTTATACTCTTATTTTAGATAAATGTAAAGGTTACAAGAAATATAAACACAGTGACCAAATGAAGGATGCAACTAATCTGACAAAGAAAGAAAGAAAGAAAGAAAGAAAGGCGCCCTCTAGTGGATCATAATGAGATCTGCAGGAATAGAGCGTTCTCTTTAAAATTACATAACAGAAAGTAACTGCCTGCAGACATTTATATACATTATGTGAGGTTCAGTATATGACTATTATTACCCATTTACATCTGTAGTTGTTGAACTAAAGCATGAAAGGGGTGAGAGTGT